AAAAAAAAAAAAAAAGAAATTCCCTAGGGTTGAGTTTGACCCTGAATGTGATCTTCTACTTATCTCATTCTAGCCCCGAACTAGGTTAGGCGGCAAACCTGACCTTGGCAGTGGGACCCATTTCTTAGGGTGTGGCTTGTCCTTCCAAATCGGCTGTAAGTCTAGCCCAGGGCTGCTTGTACATTTCCTTGCTGTCCCTGGAGTTCATGTTTAGAGTAGGGCCCGAAAGAAGGCTGTGTTCAACCAACCTCCCTGGAGGAGTGGCGGAGGGTGTCCAGGTGTAAGTCACGGCCACTGACGAGAAGCACGTCTTAATGACTGGTGCCAGCTGCAGGTGACGTTTGGGATCAGACTTGACTTACTGGCGGTCCCAGGGCCACCTTTCACCAGATGGTTCTGCCCTTCACCCCCTGAGTTTTAAGAGAACTTGAGGTCCCCTTTCCCAACCCAGTGTCTTCCAAAGTTCCCTTGTCATGTGAACAGCTGAGCCCCACAAGGACTCGAAGGACGTTTCCAGCCCCCAGGCTCTATCCCATGGGAGGGGAGTCACCCCCTCTCCTGATAGGAGGCTGCGTCAGTCCACTTCTGGCTGACAGGAGCAGGTTAGGGGAGCAGAAGTCACGTTCCAGGAACTCTTCCCAGAGGACAAGCCCAGAGAAGCCCTTTGGGGACTTCCAGGACTAGAGTGGAGGGACCCTTTCCCCTCCCCACTGCCTTGTCTCTGGCCTGAGCCCTGAGTTCCTTGGGGAAGCCATGGACACAGAAACCTCAGCAAGAGCGATGGTGGCCGGGGACAGGGGGGCTGTGTCACAAAGCCTGGCTTGGCTTGTGTCTTGGCTGTAACTCTCATGGGAGGATCTTCTTCAGGGTCATGGTAGGACGTATGAAGGCACAGGTGCCACTAGTTCAAGGCTAGACTGAGATAAGTGGAGATGACTGAGTTCCAGGTGTCTTATAACACGCCGGGTTGGATAGATGGCAGTACAGTTCATGACCACTATTTCCCCTTTTGCTAACTGGCATTGCCCAGGCCTTGGCCCCTCCAGCAGCACCGTGCCCAGGGAGGGCCCCGTCTCCCGGCCTCGGCGGCAGAGGATAACCTCCTCCTGTCAGCTGGAGTGATGCTGGCTGCAGTGAAAGGCCAGAATCATGGTTTCCCACAAGGTTGCATGGTTTTCTGGTTCTGTTTCTGCGAGGCTAATTCCTCCACCCCTCAGCGCTAGGATTCTCAACCTGGACTGTTCTTATCAGCTGGGGGAATGTTTATTTTTTTAAACAAGCAACTCCTGGACTCATCCCTGGGCCTTCGGGGTCTGGAGGTGGGGCCCTGGGATCTGCATTGTTATGAACTGCAGTTTGAGAATTCGGATGCACAAACTGGTTTGGACAACTTTGCTTTGGATTCGCCTCCCTACCCCCTTCTCATTTTATCAAGAACCTTGACGTCCTCTTATCCCCTATCTGGTTCTATCTTCCTCCTCTTCTGCCCCGGCAGCTCCTCCTCTGCAAATAAAGTTCCTCCCACTTAAGAGAGTGGTTCCCCCATGGCCAGGTGCGCACACCTTCCTTCTCTCCACAGGCCTCCGACATCCTGTTCTGAGCATCATTCTCTCAGACTCGCTGCTGAGGCCATGCACGGCCTAATCATGCCTGTGATCTACCAGGTCCTGTCTCACTGAACGTGGCTGCAGCAGGTGACCTGTCCCCACTTCCTCTTCCTGGAGACTGTCTTCTCCTGAGTCTGGGATGCCATCTCCTGGCCTCTCTGAATCGCTCTCCTCCGTGCCCTTTGTGGTCTTCTCTTTCCTTGCTCACCCCTAAGATCTTGACATCTCCCAGGGTCTTTCCCTGATCTTCTTTCCTTAAATTTCACACCCTGCTGGGGTGACCCCATTCACTTCCAGGCGACGTCATTCACTTCCAGGTGACCTCATTTCCAGGTGACCTACCCACTTCCGGGTGACCTCATTCACTTTCAGGTGACCTCATTCACTTTCAGGTGACCTTACCCACTTCCAGGTGACCTCATTCACTTCCAAATGACCTCATTCACTTCCAAGTGACATTATTCACTTCTGGGTGACCTCATTCACTTTCAGGTGACCTTACGTACTTCCAGATGACCTCATTCACTTCCAAGTGACATCATTCACTTCCAGGTGACCTCATTCACTCTCAGGTGACCTCATTCACTTCCAAGTGACATCATTCACTTCCGGGTGACCTCATTCACTTTCAGGTGACCTTACCCACTTCTAGATGACCTCATTCACTTCCAGGTGACCTCATTCACTTCCAGGTGACCTTACCCACTTCCAGATGACCTCATTCACTTCCAAGTGAATTCCACTACCCAAAATTGACCCCTCCCAAATCCCAGTCAGTCAATGGACATGGCCCCCCTGAAGGTTTCCCACCCTGGTTAATGGTTCCACTGTCATCATGAAGCTTGGAAAACCAGAAATCCATACTCATTCGGGCCTCTTCTCCTCTCTTACCCCCACATCCACAGGTCACCTAATGCAGGGACGCTACCTGCTTGTCCACCATAGGTCCTGCCTGTCCCTGCCCCACCGCCATGCTCCACTCCACCATGTCTTGTCCACTGGGGTCTTTGCAAGGCCTCCTCCCCAGCCTTCAGCCTCACCCCTTCTGATCCATCCTCCCCCTTGGGGGGGGTCACAGCATTTGTACTAAAATTCAAACCTGACCCTATGATTCCCTATTTAAACCTGTCCCAGGGGCTGCCCCTTGCCTGGAAGAGGAAGCCAGACTCCAGAGCAAGGCCCTCAGAGCCCTCCCTGGTCAGACCCCTGCCCACCTCCAAACTCATTTTTTTAACTTACTAAATTTTTACTGAAGAGCCAGCCACATGCTTCATCCCTCCCTGCATGCATTCCGTGCCCAACTCCCCACCCAGAGGCCCCCTTGCACCCCTGAGCTCTGGGTGGCACATGACATGTGACACCCTGCATTCTCTGGGAGCTGTCCTCCTCCCCCTTCCCTTGATGAGCCCACGTCAGCTTCCCAGACCCCCACTTGGTCACCTGCTCTTCTGTGAAGAATTTGTCGCCGTGTCTTATGTGACCCAGTGTCACTACCAGAGTGTGAACTCCCCAGGGGGTGGGCAAAGGCCCCTCACCTGCCCAGGCTGCACATCCCCAGACCCCCAGCATGTGGCTGGCACTCAATGGCGTAAGTTAGAAGTGATACCTTGCAGCTCGGTAGAGCATTTCCTTCAACGGGTAAGACTCGTTTAAAATAATTAACACCTCTTCATATAAAAATGTGCTAAAATCATTTTTAAAATTTACTGTTGAGGAGAATAAAACAATGTGTTTTATATTATAAATCTGCTCAGTTCTCACCTTCTAAAGCGCATGTTGCCTTATATGGCAAAAGGAAACTATGATCACCGTCTCCTAATTAGTGACATCTAAATTAATGTGACTGCAGATAATATGTGTACATATTGGACAAGTCAGTACATGTATAATGTGTTTATATTTTTATACACGCCTTAGAGTTGTCTCAAGCACGCCGGCATGGGTAAAAAAGAGTCACCAGAAGGTCCTCCTGTACCACGTACATGCTAAGGTTGTCTCCTCTTTTAAATAAAGTGTGGACCAGCCCCATTCTCCTAACACATAAGCCAAAGCCTTTGCTAATGCTGTTCATCTCTCCCAGCCCTGCAAGTCTGCAGAATGCTGGGCTCACCGGGCCTCCCTTCCCTGCAGCTGGCAGGCAGGTGCACGAAAAGGCCCATTGGCTTCTCATCGGTTTGGCAATTCTGGTGAGATTCCATCAGTTGACAGGAAACAGACTAGATGATCTTCTAGCTCTAAGAATCTCTGAGTTCAAGGACAGAGTTTCCTTAGGCTCAAAACCTTTATTTACATATTAGGCTGGATCATATGAAATTGCTATTATTCAGCTGTTCTTGACTCACAAAAGTGCCAGTTCATATGGTGCAGCCTAATAAAACCATGACAGAGTATGGACCACTGTCCCATCTCCTAGGCAGGAAGACTGAGGCAGGGCCACGGCTGCTGGTTAGCTCAGTTGGTTAGCACGCAGCCTGGTAACACCAAGGTCTAAGGGTTCGGTTCCTGGTACCGGCCAGCCATGAAGAAAATAAATAAGATAACAAAAACACAAAAGATAATTTAATAATATTTTTAAAACAGAGACAGAAAGAGACAGAGGGGTCATAGGATCTCAGCCAGATCTCACCAAGTCAGAACACTGCAGGCCAGAGATCGGGGCCCATGTGCTTTAGGGCCTTCTGTGAAGGATGCTGGCCAGGGCAGGGGTGGGTGGATTAGTTCAAGGACACGTGAAAGTCATTAAGGATGAAGTTTGTTTCCTTATTTTTTAATGTAAGGTTGCAGCCTCCTAGACTGAAAAGAACTCAGGCTTCTAAACTAGACAGATTGGGTTTAAATCCGAGTTCTGCTATGTGGGCAAGTCATTTAGCCTCTCTAAGCTTCGGTTTCCCCGTCTGTAAGATGGAGATAATAATAACGCCCTCCCACGGTTTCAAGAGTCAGAGGTAGTGTAGGTAGGAGAGGGTAGCGCGGTGCTTTGCACACTGTAGGTGTGCGGCAAATGGCAGCTGTGTTATTTTTACTTGGTATTTTCCCCACATATTGACCATCTTGTCCCATCTTTCTACTTCTGCAGTATGCTTTTTTTCTAATAGCGTCACAACTTGTGTTTATCTCCTATCCCACATGCAAAGGACAGTGGCACACACTTTCTAATGGCCCCTAAGTCCCCTGTGTCCTCCTGTGTCCGCTGCCAAGTCCTGAGTCCACATCCACGTCATTTCTCAGTTGCTGCCTTCTCCCCCTGGTTCGTCTTTCCCATCTCAGACACTTTGTGATTTTTTAAAAAAATTTATTATTTAGTTTGGTGGCTGGCCAGTCTGAGGAACCGAACCCTTGACCTTGGTGTTTAACCAGCAGAGCTAACCACCCAGCACCCTTATCTCAGACACTTTAAATCCAGCCAACACCCTGCTGACAAATTAATTTTCTTAAATTACTGCTTCTGTTGGGTTATCGACCTGCTCAAAACTCTGTGAGAGCTCCATTTCCTGCAGGTTAGAGACAAACCCTTATCCAGGCACTCAAAACCCTCCACAAATGGGCTAAGTCAGTCCTCTCCCTTTACCCACACTGACTGCCACTTCTGCCACTGCACTGCCCTTGCCCCCTGAGAAGAGGCTCACCCTTTACCTCTGCAAACCTGGGCAAGCCTGAGCCCCCTTCTCCTCTGTCAAATGGGGACAAAGTTCCCCACGACACTGTGAGCTCCTGAGGGTAGGGACTGTCTTAGGTTCCTGATTGAGCCTCTACCGAAATGTCAAGAGTTGCAACTCAGCCTCATCCCCCCAGAAAGGAGGGTCCCATAAATGCTCTGTGCCCCCAGCTGGCCCGTCCCTCCGGTGAGATTGGGAGAACAGCTTCATCTCTCTGCATCTCCCATGGGGCCACCCGGGCTCTGTGCCAGGAACACACAGGGGTCAGTTTGATTGGTCTGGAATCCGTGGTTCTCACACTTTAGTGAGCATTGTCATTCCTTGGGAGGCAGGAGAAAACTTGTTTAGAAATGCAAATTCCTGGGCCAATTCTTGGACATTCAGTAGATCTCGGGTGAGACCTAGGCATCCACATTTGTCACAGATCCCACAGGTGAGGATGCAGGTGGTCTGAGGATGCACTTGATGCTGGCTGTGTTTCTTTGGAAGTCCACAGGCCACCTACTGTGTATAAGGTGGCATGCTGGGGGCTGAAGGCATAAGGCGGGTGAAATGAGCCTGGGACCTCAAGTTGGTGGCAGTTGTTAAGGAGGAGGAGGATGGGGCGGAGTCAATAACAGAAATCAGCACGTGGACATGGGCTTTTTTGACCTTGATCTCAGGTGCAAGGCGTGGGTAACAGCAAAGGCCACACCTGGAAGCCTGTACGAGCCAGCAGGTTGGGCAGGAAAGGGCCAAAAAACATAGTCCAGAGGGGGAGGCAGTTGGGCCACCAGGCAGTGTCCTCAAGGAGCAGAAACTGAGAGGATCAGCGATGTGAGAGGTCCCTAGTCTATTGGCCGACTTCCCGAACGTCCTGCTTTCTGGCTGGGCCTGCTTTTAACAGGCCACCTACACCTGTGAGGCAGTGCAGACAGTGGCACCTGTGACTGTGTCCTTGGACAAGGTGCCTAATTCCCGAGCCCCTCTCTGTGTGTAAGATAGTATGTTTACACCAAAAATGCCCCCCAAAGATGCCCACGTCGTAATCCCCAAACCCATGATTATTATGGTAAAAGGGACTTTGCAGATGTGATTCCATTAACAAACTTGAGAGATGGGGAGATTATCCAGGATTATCCAGGTGGGTCCTGAATGTAAACACAAAGGTCCTTATAAGAGGAAGGCAGGAGGACCCAGATATAGAGAGAAGATGTAAGGACAGAAGCAGAGGTCAAAGAAGGGGCCACAGCCAAGAAATGTAGGTGGCTTCTAGAAGCTGGAAAAGGCAAGGAAACAGATCTCCCCTTCGAGCCTGCAGAAGGAATCAGCCCTGAGGACCCATTTCAGACTTTTGTGACCTCCGAAACTGTAAAAGAATATATTCGTATAGCTTTAAGCCACTACCTTCCTGGTAAGTTGTTACAGCATCCACAGGAAACTGATACAGACAGAGACAGTGCTGCCCCGCTGCAGGGCTGTAGCAAGGCTCAAAGCCCTCGTGGGAGAAGAGCCTGACTTGAGTGGAAACTCAGTACATGTAGTGACATTACCATGGGGGTTACAGGAAACTGATACAGACAGAGACAGTGCTGCCCCGCTGCAGGGCTGTAGCAAGGCTCAAAGCCCACGTGGGAGAAGAGCCTGACTTGAGTGGAAACTCAGTACATGTAGTGACATTACCATGGGGGTAAGTCTTAACCAGGATAAGCAACGTGGACGCACCCACTGCGTTGCTTGGCACCTTGTAAATGCCCAATATCTTAGGCTCCCTGTCCCTCCCCTTGCAGGCCTACGTGTCTGGGGGAACCCTGTCAGGGAGGGGTTCTAGGAGGTCTGTCCTGGTCTGCCTTGCTCCACTGCAAAGGCACCTGTGGTCTCAGATCCTTTCCCTTAGCAATTAGCGTGTGTGCTGGGGGTGGTCACTTCCTGGCCCTTGACAGCTCCTGAATTTGCCTCTGTGTTTGGCTTCCGTGTCACTCCAGTGACACTGGCTCCTACCTCTGAATCTTGGAATCTTTGCCACATTAACCTGGTGCCCTTTCCAACTTCTGCCTGTGGTGCTTGCAGGTGACTGCACTGTTGCTCCTTCCAGCAGGCACTACTTGTCCTGTGACTTCTGCATCCCCCCAAAGGCCCCAGGACTGTGTTGGGCCCTTGGCTGCCCCATGCCGTCCCTCCTCCAAGTGGTCCACTGGCCTCTCCAGTATGGAGACAATCAGAGTCAGGCTGGGGTCTGAGCAGTAGTCCTGCTTGGAGAGAGGACAGGGTGTGGGACCTGGGCTGCTCCCCTCCCAGCGCCCTCTGCAGACTGTCCCCTCTGGCCTCCCACAGGGACGTTCGTCTCGGCCTTCACCGTGCTGTGCGGGGCCCGCACTGACCTCCCAGACAGGCACGTGTGCTGCGTCTTCTGGCTGAACATCGCGGCAGCCCTCATCCAGATCCTCACGGCCATCGTCATGGTGGGCTGGATCATGAGCATCTTCTGGGGCATGGACATGGTCATCCTCGCCAGTGAGTAGCTGATGGCCAACTGCAGGGTGGGGGACGGCCAAGGCTGGGACGGACTCGGGAGGCCTGCATGGCTGGCTGAGGTCCTGCCCACGCCTGAGGACAAGCGTGCTTAAAGACTTGCCTGTGCCCGCCTCACCAGTTCCCACTGCAGGGGACCCTCCGCAGCACACCGTGGCAGACGGGGCTCTCCTGGGTAGAGACCTGAGCCCCCAGGTGTGAATAAGAGAGGAAGGGAGCCCGGTGCAGCTAAACCATGTCAGTTACTGCCTCGGTCAAGGAAACAGACACGACTGGGTAGCGGTGGGCGTGGCTTCGGGGAGCTCAGTCTCCCTGCACACCACGCTCTGTCTCTCCATCACACAGCTTCCAGAAAGAAATTTAGTGTATTTGCCCATAGGAAACCCTACAACTGAGTTTTGTTTTTTGGGGTTTTTTTAAAAGATGACTGGTAAGGGGATCTCAACCCTTGACTTGGTGTTGTCAGCCCCACGCTCTCCCAAGTGAGCCACAGACCGGCCCTTACAACTGAGTTTTCTACAGCTAGTACAGTGCAGCTCCTCTTTATTTAAACTAAGCTCTTTGCTCGTTGCTGCTAAGGCCTTTCTGTCCCTCGTTGGTATTGAGTGGACCATCATCAATCATTTCATGCAAACTTGATTCAGACACAAAACTGTTTTGTGAAAGGGCTCCAAGTTACACAATCAAGTTTACCAAAGGCAACTTGATTGATTACCATTTTAAAAGAGATCTTGCAAAATATGAAAACACATATCACCTGTTTGAAGCAGCTGTGTGTCCCCCTGAACCACTCTCTGCGGTTCCCTGCATCTCTCGTTAGGTTGCGGTTCCTCAATGACCTCGACCACATCTCCTTAGGTACTGTGGACTTCGCTCCACACCCCAGCCCCACCCCATGCCCCTCGCTGTGTCCTGTAGCCAGAAAAACCATTTGCAGGTGGAATAGTCATTGCCAGCAGTAAGATGTGCCATGTACGAACAGCAGTGGCTGAAGGGGAAGCCCAGGGTTCAGGGGACCTAAAATGATGTAGAATGACCTGTGGCCAACCCAGCCTGAGTTCAGGATCCTGTGAAGATCCACAACCCAGGGCACACACAAATGCCAGGACCAGGGTCAGTGACCGGTCTAGCCACCAGGACGGAGATGGTGCAGGCACCAGAGCCAGCGTGAGGTCCAGCAGAGCTGGTGGGTTGGTCAGACAGGTTGCTTGGAAGCGGGTCCTCCAGGAACAGAGGTCAGGGACCTAGGAGGGGAATCAGAGAGCTATAAGTCAGAGGTCATGAGAGGAGAAGGTCAAATGAGGAACTTACAGGCAGGCTGCTCTGCTTGTGTTAACAATAACAAACAACAGTGCACCACAGCCTGTCTTGGCCGTGGGTCGATAAACACCTGGCAGTGCTGAGTATGGCGGGCTTTTCCTACATCCCATGCCATGACATTGCTAATCAATCGTGACACTTTCTGCCCACCGATCTCACGTTTTCTCAGCACAGGGCTTCAGGCAGTCACCACCAATTGATCCAAGGTGTCTGTGAGATAAAACCTCTTTGCCAGCCTTGGGCCTGGGTCTTTCCCAAAGGACTAGGGGCTCCCGTCCATAGAAAGGGCTAACCGCATGGCCCAGACAGAGCCGGGCTGGGGCCAGGATGGGTCACTTCAGCATCTTTTTTTTTTGTCAGAGTCAAACTGGTCCTGTAGCTGTCCCTGTTGAGGTCCTTCCAGAGTTCACCTCGAGGCAAGCGTGGGCTGGGGGTGAGCAGGGCTGAGATGCAGAGGGTCGCATAGGCAGGGGCAGAGCTTCTCAGCAGTATGGGGGCCCCTTGCTGTGTGCTCCCCAGCGCACCCACACCTGCTGGGCTGACCACTGGCCACAGTGGCTGGTCACCATGAACACAGAACTGGCCTTGGCTTTGAGGACCTGGCTCTGAGTAGCCGCTGGCACAGCACCTGTCCCACCCCCCAGGCCCCACCAGGGGCTTGCCGTCTTGTATATCCCAGGCGTTCCCTGTGGTCTTTGCATTCAGATTGTTTCTCTCTCTCTCT